CAATTTTCCATTAATTTAAGTAGAAATTTGACAACACACTAAACAAGATGTCAGCCAGCAAACCGTGTCATTATTTTAGATTAATTAATGATTAGTATTATTAGGTTTGTTATAACTTTAATGTAAAATGTTAAGATCCCAAGAAATATTAAAACAGCCCAGCAGATGCAACCCCTCACCCCTCCATCCTATCTTGACGGGCCGGGCCTGGTCATGTAAGACATCGGATAATTTATAATCACACACAATCGTTAATATTTTAGATTTTATAATACTATTTAGTAATAATAAAATGTATACTAAAACACAACAGTGACTTGAACAGAATAATCTGATCTGCTGATGTTAATTAACAATTTAGGATAAAATGTTTTTACCTATATTCAAAAATTATTCTTAGTTTTATTTTTTATTATTTGATAATTCGAAATTCTGGTACTTTTGAAAAATTGAACGTGTATAATTTCATATTATCACAGCTTTTTTGTGACCAAATCAATTGGGCCTATTGTCCAATGTACAAAAAAAGAATCAAAATCAAATTCCATAGTTTGCCAATTTTTTTTAAAAAGACATTATTCTGAAAAAATAAAAACAATTCTATTTGAGCGATGGAATTTCAAACGTGTTTTAGAATGTAAACACAAAAATATTTAAAGAGAATATTAATTTATTTAATTAATACATTTAAAATTAAAAATGTTTTTAATAATTTAATGTTCAAAACAATATACACGTAACTATTTAAACTCGCATTATAATAATGATATTATTGCACCAACACAATTCAAGTCATTTTATTTTTAAATATTGGTGTTCGTCCCCCTTAGTAATTCCTAGGTACTTCAAATCTATCTAAATCACTAAATATTAAACACGACTGCATGGTTCCTATTTGAAAAAAAAAAAAAAAAAAAAAACATTTTTAACTACCAATAATACATCATTGATATTGAAACAAATTCGGTTGAATATAAAATAATATGTACATAAAAAATTCTTTAACCCATTGTCCATCATTGTATAATTCAATAAAAACAATTTAATCGTGTAAGAATAAGAACTCGCGTTCGAAGGAGGGTTTCGACCTTCGGGCGGGTTGGGCAATTTTATCGACCGGTTATAAAAGATATAGACACACGAGTTTAATAATACGAGCATTTTTCTCCGCTACGTAACTATAATAATAATAATAATAATATTATGTTCATATTATACGAAATGGGCGTGGTCATATAAACCATGGATAATGATAAAAAAAAAAAAATAATAATAATAATAATAGTACAAAAAACGGCCAACCAACAGTTATCCTTGGACCATGGTCATTGGCACCTATATAAAGTATAGTATGGTTCAACAATCCTACCGCCGCCGTCCGTGTACACCACCACGGTCCACGATGCACAAAATTTAATTTTACACACGAAATCATTCGGTTCGGAACACGGCCGCCGTTGGTATTAGTAATGGTATTGTAAATAAAATTCTAAAAAATACCCATTCATTATGTTATTGCGGCGGAATGGAAAAAATTCAACATCAAACGGCCAGTACGAAAATATAATAAGACAACAACAATACGCCGGTGTCCGCGCACAGACGGCGGGGTAGGTGGGTAAGCGTAGTGTCCCGATGACCGGCCCGTCTCTCTCTCCGTGACCCGAAGCGAGCGGCGATTCGTTTTATGTTTTTTTTTTTTTTCACGAAATCGCACACTTCGCCAGCGCGCGCGCCGCCGCCGCCGCCGACGCGTCAACGTACGTACCCACGCGGCCGAAAAACTACGAAGAATTTTCCCAGACGGTTTCCCACTGCCGGCCGCCGCAAATGCGTTTCTCGCGCGCCGGAGTTCACGTACCGCGGCCGAGAAGAGTTGAACGTCCGGCCGTCCGAGCGTCTAAAGACTCCGCCGTTCACCTTCCGATACACGCACGCACGCACGCACACACACACACACACACACACACACACACACACACAACAAAACCCGCCTCCTCGCCGTCCGACCGTTTTGTGCAGCGCACAGTCCGCAATTATTTAGATACATAGGTAATGTTATTATTATATACGCGCGTGTGCTGCAGTTGGGCGATTGCGTACCGTACGCGATAATATTAATGATACACATATCGTTGACCGAGGATAAATAATATTACACGCGGCAACGCAATACCCAAGGGGGGCCTCGGGTTTCGCAGTTTCTCGTAACCGCAAACGCGCGGGGCATCTCGGTATTTTATGTCAATTATATATTATTGTAATAATATGAAAAATACAAATTAAACGTCCCGACCGTCCTTCTCGGCGAATATTAAAAAAAAAAAAAAAAAAAAAACCAGCGGCCCGGTTAAATTACAGTTATTGAACGCGATTCGTCGGTACACACACGTTTCGCGATGTTATTATTCGAGTACGTACGTCCGAGCACATTACCCGTCGACACAAGTTGAGCGGAGGGGGGGGGAGAGAGAGAGGTTAGGGGTTATATTCCCCCCGCTCCGTTGGCTTTAAATACAGAAAAAAAAAAAAATAATAATAATACGAGTAATCCAATGTCGAAACGCACAATGCATTTCGGCCAAGTCACGAGGAAAAACTCGACGTACCGAATAGAAGAAATTGCCATTTTTTTAGAATCCGGTTTTTAAATTACCAATTCCCACCGTCAACTCGGGTAGAGAATACGGATTCACGGATTATTCACGATTATTATTTGCTACACGCCCGCCCGTTAACAACAATTGCCGGGCGCACAAGACAGCGCGGTTTATTTACGCGGCGTAATTCGTTAACGATACAAACGTAACGGAATAATATTGAAATCGGGCGCCAATATCGAAAACTCCCGAGTTTGAAAAATAACCCGTAAAAAAATTACGGAGTTTTCGTCACAGACACCGCGTACGGGCGGCGACGTTTTTACCGCGTTTTCATTGCGTTATATCGAAAACCGGCATCCGTTAACAACATTGCGCGACCGCCGAACGATATAATAAACCGCACTAAAAGGAACACCGGCGAAACCTGCGAACGCGACGGGGAATAACGACCCGCCGGTGACCACCCCGTCAACGCGGCTCGGGACGCGCGCTCGTTCGTTTAATTTTCGAGCACAGAAACGCGGGGGACACGGGGAAAAATATTATCATTACGATCGTACAACAGTGCAGTTGCGCGTGCACGTTGCGCTACTACGGGGAGTCGCTCACGCGGCACGGTCGACCGCGGCGTAGGTACCACCGAGACGGGACGGCCCGGCTATATATAGAGCGGCTCGCCTGGAAAATATACACCGTTCTCGCGTGCGAAGAGACCGAAATATACCTGTCTTTTTAGTGTAATACAAGTATCGAGCGTATTATTATACACGTGCATTACATACGTTATTTTTGGTTTTTTTTTTCTATTAAATTCTCAAACCAGTTTCGGGGACGAAATGTTCCGTGTTTTTTATACGCCGCGCCCGCTTCCACGCTACACATCAACGAAACAGACTAATAACAATTTACACCATTAACCCGCGAACCGGTAACAAAAATTATCGTCAACGACATTCTACCGGGAATTAAAAATAAATATATTTAGATAAGGCCGGGATAATTATCGTTATTTTCCTTTGTCCGGTTGTTATTTTAAGAACATTTTTCAAAAACGGGTTTAAAAAAAAAAAAAAAAAAAAAACCCTATACGTTTTACGTATATTTAAAACGACCCGATTATTTATTCGATAAACAACCACGGGAGTTACGACTGTATTATTATCTCAGTTGTCACAACGGTTAAGAGGAGTAATAAGTACGGCGAACGCGCGTTACTCATTGCGCGTGTTATTGTAAAACGCGTTTTATATACACGTTGATGATAATTTCATTCCGGGGAGAAAAAAAAAAAAAAAAAAAAACAAAGATCGACCTCCCGGACTCTTTTATCTTAATATTATTACATTATTGCGTACACAATACCTACCGGCCGAACGCCACGTCCGACCGTTTAAAATATTCCGCTTATAATCCCCCGGCGGCAAACACCATTATACGCGCCCACCCACCCAATTTACACTTACATACTGAAAATAACAACCGATTATCGTCGACCAACGACGATCTCGCAAGTCGATTTTATTTTTGACGTATCTTCTTGCTTTCGATTCGCGAAGACTACACGGAATAAAAACGACCTCCCCAACGTACACCCCCCCACCCCGTCATAACTAAATGGAAAATTGTACAGAGTTCGTATACGATTTCTGGCGGACAAAATTGTTTACACACAGACCGCACCGAGAAGACGACTACCGAGTGATTACGTTCGGTAACCGACGGGGCCGGATGGTGCACAGTCTCAATATAAAATAGCGTACCAATTTGTAAAACACATTTCAATCGGAACCCCCTACCTCCGTAAAAACGACGCGTTGGCACAATACAATCGGGTACAAATACAATTTGTCGAGAAATGTTCGGAAGGTACAAAACTAAAAAAAAAAAAATGCACATAAAATACACTACGTTAAACATTACTGGCTAAAACGATAAATTAAAAATACATATCATTGAGAAAAAAAAAAACGTTTGTAACAATAATAAAAAAAAAAAAAATACATCGCGATTCTCGCAGCTTAGGCGCTTATCCGTAGTAATTATTGTAACAGTGTATGGGAACAGTCACCACCGGCTGCGAACGTAAAATTTAATAACGCAATCGGTGGTGGAGTTACCAAAACCCGTTACAAATCATCTCGAAACACGATGCGGCGGCCGTGATGCAGAGCGAGTCAGTTCGGAGTGCAGCAGGACACCACCGCCACACCGGTCGAAAAAACGAAAAGACGGAATATTTCACGACCATGTGTGGCTGCGGTCCAATAACGACGACGACGACGGCTGCGCGTAGATTGTCGTGATCAAAGTGAGGAACTTCCAACCATTGCGGGATACGAAATAATTATTAAACGCCGGCAATGGTTTGGAGTTACCACAGTTTGAATCACGTTTTGTTGTTGTTTTTTTTTTCTTCTTTCGTTCTTTCTTCCAGCGGTTCTCCTCCTCCGTGATTTCGCGTGCTCCCTCTACTCCGCCGAGAGAGAATTTTTTTATTTTTCTTAAATAATTATCATTATTATTAGGCGTACACCCGGGAGACAAGACACGGCGCGCGGTTCGTGAATACCGCTACGCCAAATTCAAGGTTGTCTTGTCGCACAGGTTCAATAACTCCCGGTAACCTGCTGCTGTACAACAAGCAGCCGGAGGCCAATCATAATCGACTGCTACCTCCGAGGTATACAAAATATTATTATATAGCAATAAAACATTCTGTGTTAATAAATATTGTAAATTTATAACGCGAATCACTTTTTTTTCTTCTTTTTTTTTTTTTTAAAAAAAACCGTAAATTGGCCACCACCGTATGGAGGGGGACGGGACGAATACCATCACTATAATATAATATACCGAAGAGGTCGACCGGAGTCGACAACCTCAGAACGCGGATCTTAAACGCTAACAATTTTTACATTTTAAAAATATAATATAAAACAAGTAACATAAAGATTGTTCAAAAAAAAAAAATAATAATAATAATAATAATAACGAGACTTCAAAAACGTAAAATGCATACACACACGCGTCTTTGTTTGATCCGACACAGAGAAAAAAACTCGCCGACAACGACGAACGTAATAATATTGGTAATTTTATCGAAAACGGCAAACCCGTTTCTGGCGAGCGTATAGAACAGACAATTTATTATGAACTATCCGGGGGTGGGAGGAGGAGGGGGGAAATGAATACGAGATAATAATAATAGTATAAATTAAAATTAGTTCGTAGGGCCGTAACGGATAAAAATAACATTATTATCGTTAAATATTGTATTCATACTTTAAAAATAAATTCTACGCGTACACAATGGGCGAAATAATAATTTCGACCGAACGCGACGAAAGAATAATGGTAATGCGTCCGCCGAGCAGGTTGATCCGAAAACGCACGGCCGTCGTTTTGTTAATGTTTGGGTGTACCCGGGGGCAAAACAACAACACACGAACATTTTTAACGTATTTTCCGCGGGGGTTTTCGGCGGGCAGATGTTCCACGGTCGGGTATAATAAAAGGGACGAACGCATAACAAATGCTGTAGGTCACGCGAAGGGGATGATGATGGGCTCTCCAAAAGGGAACGACGACGAAAAATTATTATTAATCGATTTTTCGGCGTTCGTTATTCTTTTTTTTTTGTTGCCCGTCTATCTATCCCTATACCGTGAAAATCGGTTCGGTGAAATATTAAATACACACAGGGCCGCGGCGGGTGGGAGAGGAAAACCCCAAACACAAACGATTCTGACGAGTCATAACAGTATTAATAATACGTTTAATACAAAGATTATTTTTGAAAAACGGCGTGGGGAAAAAAAAAAAAAAGTAGATTGGTACGAGTGAAGAGGAAAATGAATTTTGTGCAAACGAAAATACCGTGACTTTTTTGTTTTTAGGGGTTAGAAAAATATATACATTTATATATATATATATATATATATATATATATATATATAATTTATGGGATTTTGCGTGCGTGTAAGTACGTATATTACGAAAACAGACGGTTCATTCGATTAGGGTGAGTCGGCGCGAGGGTTGGGCGGCGAGGGTCGCGCGCGTAGGAAGCCGGCTATGACCTTCAAACAGCCAACACACGTAAAATACAAGCAGCGCAGGCTTGCCATCTGTTTTTATGGAACCCGACGCGGTTTTAAACACGCACTGCGCCGGCGTTGGTGGACTCGACGGAGTAAACAACACGAACGATTTTTCGGAAACACGAAAACGACAACGTGCCGGGACAAACGACACACTGAAAGCGCGTTTTTTCGCGTCTCGTCGAAATCTTATCGACCGACCCCGGACTCTGTCCGCCGGACGACCACGCGGACGTTTCACGAAAAACCGGACGGTACCGATGTCCACGTGTTTTACTCGATCGTGAACAAAGCCGCGGGGGAACGGCGAGACGAAAACACCGGAAGCTTAAAAGCAGAATTCTTACCTCGGTCGATGACGGCGATCGGCGACGGGCGTGGAAACGCGAATATAAGAGGAGAAAAAAAAACAAAAAAAAAAAAAAAGCCGACACACGTGTGTTGCGCGTTATTTGCTACTGTTGTCCGCTGCGAACGGTACGCGCCAACACGACTTGTGAATTATCGTTTCGTAAACGTGAAATAAAAATTGTCATGGGAGAATAAATCGAAAACAAATTAAACACAAATTGTGATGCGTGGAACGCGAAACGTCTGACGACGGATCGCAAGGGACGCGTACCGGACGATAACTGAACGCCGGCAACCGAGAGGAGAGCACCGCGTACGTGCGGCGGCGGCGGCGGCACGCCGGATGCCGGGGCGGTGGTGGGGCGCGGGAGGACGGCCGCCCGTAGTACCGTCGCGGTGTTACGACCGAAGGGACACCCCCTCCGAAAAAAAAATGACGAGGCGGCGGCCGCCGCCGCACAATTCCGCGTACACAAGGCGCCAACGCCCAAGGGTAAGGGTGAACTAACCTAGGGTAAGAATTTTAACAATGGTTACCGCGCGCACGCACCGACGGAGGTGGTGCCGCCGGTGACGGTGGTGGTGTAGGTCGTCGTTATCCGTCCTAGACCCACACCAAAATCCATTATATGATTAACCGTTTTTTTTTTCTTCCCCCCCCCTCCGTCAAGGGTGACGCGAACAACAATAACTATAGCAGCAGCAGCAGCAGCAGCAGGCCCGGTGAGAAAACATATATACACGCACAGACTATTCTCATTGAAATTTTAACGAAATTCGAGGGATCGCCATTACAATATAATAATAACGTGTATGGGCGATATAATAAAATAGACGGGCGTCGACAAAGACGAAATTTTAAAATTTCACATTATACACGGTTTGGCGGAACCGTAGGCACGAGAGGATAACCGACGTACGTACGTTTCGCCACAATGGAAACGTAATATTTTTAAGCGAGGCAATAGGTATTATTAAATCGATACACGATAAAAGGAACAAAAAAAAAAAAAATTATTTATATTCGACAATTTATTTGTCAAACTAAACCCAAAATCGAATAATATAGTAATAAAATTCCAATCTCTAAAATAACAATTGTATTATAAGCATTATTATAAGCAAACTACAATTAAAACGAGGCAATAGGTATTATTAAATCGATACACGATAAAAGGAACAAAAAAAAAAAAAAAAAAAAAAAAAAAAAAAAAAAAAAAAAACGAGTGGTTTTCAAATATTGGTATCCAGTAAGAACATAATTTGTTTTTCTTTCTAAATCAACCGCATTCCTTTACAATAATATTAACATGTTTATCAACAACTTATGTCGAAAATAAAATTAAAATGTATTTTTATATTTTTTTTTTTTTAACTAATAGCGCTTTAAAAAGATCAACAAACGTTATTTTCTCAGCCTTCTCTACTCTATAAACCCAAACGATATTATAAAAATAACCGTTGTTGCTGAAATCACAAAACATAATCGGACCCCCAGAAAAATATTTTAGTTGAGCGTTAAAATTAAATCCATTTTGCAATAAGTTTTTTTCATTAAATTACTAACGTGTTCGTCAAGAGTAGGTAACTAATTTTTATGATACAACACTACAAATGTATTTTTCCATAACTTATCTATTTCGATTTATAAAACCATATAATCCAAAGTCGAAAAAGAAAAAGTATAAAAACCTATTCAAGTACATATTTAAACACGATATATTTGTCCACGTAGGAAAAACTAAAATCAAATAAGTATTTCGTTAGCGTGTAATATTGGTACCTATATTAATAAACCCGTACAATTTTGAAAAATATTAAATAATATTCGAATAAATAAATTATAGTTTACCGATCATCATTTCTGTAACAATATTTTAACGCGATTAGTAATGCGGGCAGACACAGTGGAGCCTCTCACAAGACGTGAATTTACATTATAATAAACAAACTAGAAAATATCGCATTGAAGAAAATTAATAATAGTACCACGTTACACTTTGTCGACAAATATTTACCCAACAGTTCACGACGTTATTGTACGATATAACTCTGGAATTTCAATACGGGAAAATATTATTATAGTACAACACTAAACGTGCATTGTCCGGATTTCGGATAATCAACAACACTGGGAATACGCGATAAAAAAAAAAAATCCCACGACGAACACGAAATATTCTCAAAAATACGATTCCGTAATTCGACATACCAGGGGGGGGGGGAGGGCAAATTAAAACGAATTAATTACAACGGCGTCAATTAATCGTAGCCCGTAGGTATCGGAGGAGGAAAGACTTCAATGACCGACTTCGCCGCAAAATAACACGGCCGCGACGACGTCATTATTATTGCATGGGATTTTTGTAAGACGACGAAATCGAAATAATACAATTAAATATTGTCTGGCGGAAAAACAATAGAGAAAAAAAAAAAAAACGACAATATACGTCACAAAGGAACGACGACGATTACCGGACGGATACATCACTGTGTACGCGGAGGAGATAAGACAAACAACAGAGAAAAAAAATCCTTGGGCGACGAAGGCACACGTAACACACACGGGAAATATTTAAAAACTGATTTTTCTCGAACGGCCGGCCGGCCTGCCGGGGACCTTGACGGAATCGAAATATTACCGGCCGGCGTATTACATAATAATAATAATAATAGTAACCGATTATATCGTAAGGTTTCGCCCGCCGTACGTACGCGGGTTAGAACCAAGACGAAAATAACCGCTTTGGACATTTTTCCGTGTAAAAACGTTCAATCCCAACGCGAAAACAAAATGTTATTCGGCGTTACCTAAACAATACTTACCTCCGGGTGACGAACACCGCTGTGGGGGAAAAAAAACGACCGCGAGGGACTCGATAATAACGTTATAATAAAATGTGCGTAACTAAGAGGAACGGACGAAAATTAATTGTACTTTACGACTACGAAAAACAATATGTAAAAAAAAGAAAAAAAACAAATGAAAAACTACAATGTTCGTGACGGACAGGTGGTTGCGGAGACGGCAGCGCGATCAGGTCCTTGACAGAGTCGTTCGTCCATCGCGCGAAGACAATAGAGAGAAGAAACGACTTGAGCCCGGCACAAATCATGTTCAAATGTTCCTCGTCTGTGGCGTTCGCGAATGACGATAAACCGGTCTCGCCCCGCAACGCAGCACAGGTAACACACACACACTCGCGCTACACAAAACACGGGTGGAAGAGGGAACGCGACTCTATATAC